TCCCGTCTGGAGCATGGAAGGAGCTCTGTTTCCCTGTGGAGGTGACTGCTTAGAAGGGAAGTCCTTTTCCCTGGCGCTCCCTGACTTCCCCTTCCCTTTCTCTCCTGCAGCCAGCAGGGCTCCAGCGGGGGAGCGGTTGTCTTTGGGGGTGTGGACAGCAGCCTGTACACGGGGCAGATCTACTGGGCGCCTGTCACCCAGGAGCTCTACTGGCAGATTGGCATTGAAGAGTGAGTCTGTGGTGGGGCCCGGGGATGTGGCACTTCCTTGGAGTGGGCTTCCAGGCCATGTCACACACACACACACACACAGTCTGGCACTGCTCTGGGATGGGGCAGAGGACCCCTGAGGCTTACTCCTACAAAGCTGCAACTGCCCTCTGCAGGAGTGACAAAGCCCAGCTCAGCCTGGAGAAGAGGGTGGGTGTGGACAACATAGGGCAGGACTTGGACTCCCGAACATTAGGGACCCTGCAGTCCAACCCCATCATGGGCTCACAGGTTAGAAATGAGGGTGTGTTAACAACTCATTTGCTCAAAGTCCTTACAATGAATCAGTGGCCCTGGTTTTCAGTGTTTTTAGAAACTTACTTGACACTTTTGAGAAATAGGTCCCATGGCGTGATGCAGGGGAATAGCTGGATTGATCTTTGCAGGGTCCTCACATTCCTCAAGAAAGTAGCTGCAGCTGTTTGTCCCACAGCAGTGAGGAAAGCCCGCCCCAGCTGCCCTGAACTGGGGGAGTCCTGAGGCTGCCCGTCTTCTCCCCATACAGGTTTCTCATTGGCGGCCAGGCCTCCGGCTGGTGTTCTGAGGGTTGCCAGGCTATCGTGGATACAGGCACCTCTCTGCTCACTGTGCCCCAGCAGTACATGAGCGCTCTTCTGCAGGCCACTGGGGCCCAGGAGGACGAGTATGGACAGGTGTGACTGGTGGGGGTGTCTCCCTTCCCCAGGAGGCTAGTCCAGAGGCATTCATGATTTCTCCTGAGAACACAAGAATAGCCATCTGGGCACTAGGCTCATGCCTGTAATCCCAACACTTTGGGAGGCCGAGGCAGGCAGATCTTTTGAGCCTAGGAGTGAGAGACCAGCCTGGGCAACATGGCGAGACTCTATCTCTACAAGAAATACAAAAATTAGCTGGGTGCGGTGACATGTGCCTGTAGTTCCAGCTACTTGGTAGGCTGAGGTAGGAGGATTGTTTGAGCCCAGGAGGTGGAGGCTGCAGTGAGCCATGATCTTACCGTTGCACTCCAGTCTGGGTGACAAAGCAAGACCCTGTTTCAAAAAAACAAAAGGCCTAACTCTTGACCTCCATGCCTCTATCTGCCCAAGGCACTGGAGGCAGGGGGACCTGGGACGACTGGGGCTGGGGGCAGGATGGGGGCCTGGAGGCTTGTTCAGGTGGGGCCAGCTGCTTGCACCAAAGGGGAGTGGGAGGTTACTATTAGGCAGGAATTTCTTCTGAGCTGCAGTCACTCAGCAGAAACAGAGGAAACACTTGCTGGACTTTGGGATAAGAGCAAAATGATTGGAATGTGGGGCTGAGTATGTGAGCAACCAGGGCTGACCCTTTATCCGCACCTCCCTCACCTCCACAGGGCCATGCTCCCCTGCGCCTGTCTGTCCTGAGTCCAGCCAAGGGTTTGTCTAAGTAACCCAAGCCCACTACCACTAATTTTAATTTTGGGAGACCAATGGGGTGCTCATGCAGATCTGTGTTTTTCTTTTTTGTTTTTTGTTTTTTGTTTTTGTTTTTTTGAGACGGCGTCTGTCTCTGTCACCGAGGCTGGAGTGCAATGGTGTGATCTCGGCTCACTGCAACCTCCGCCTCCTGGGTTCAAGCAATTCTCCTGCTTCAGCTTCCTGAGTAGCTGGGACTACAGGCATACATCACCACGCCTGGCTAATTTTTTTTGTATTTTCAGTAGGGATGAGGTTTCACCATATTGGCCAGACTGGTCTTGAACTCCTGACCACAAGTGATCTGCCTGCCTTGGCCTCCCAAAGTGCTGGGATTACAAGCATGAGCCTCCACGCCCAGCCATCTGTGTTTTTGTTGTTGTTGTTTGGAGACAGAGTCTCACTCTGTCACCCAGGTTGGAGTGCAGTGACACAATATCAGCTCACTGCAAGCCCCACCTCCTGGGCTCAAGCAATCCTCCCACCTCAGCCTCGTGAGTAGCTGGGACTACAGGTGTGCACCATCATGCCCAGCTAATTTTTGTATTTCTGGTGGAGGCGGGGTTTCGCCATGTCACCCAGACTGGTCTCGAACTTCTGGACTCAAATAATCTGCCTGCCTTGGCCTCCCAAAGTATTGGGATTACAGGCATGAGCCACTGTGCCCGGCCAGATCTGCATGTTTTAAAATGCCACTTGCAGGCTGGGCATCATGGCTCATGCCTATATATATATATATATATAGACACTTGCAGAGAAAGAGCAGAGGTTCAATCTCTAATATGGGAAATTGAGGCAAGAGGAGTGGGGAGGTTCTGGGATCACTCTAAATCACACCCATTCTGTGAGTCCATGGGTATAATGCCAGCATTACCTACACAGGACTTTCCCTTGGAGCTGCATTTTCTAGTCCAAAAACAGGCTTAGGGCTTGGGTCCGGGGCTCAGGCCTGGGATCCAGGGGCCGAGATGATGGGGCTGGTGGGTGCTATCGGGGGAAGATGAGTTAACCAGGGACCGATTCCTTTTGCAGTTTCTCGTGAACTGTAACAGCATCCAGAATCTGCCCACCTTGACCTTCATCATCAATGGCGTGGAGTTCCCTCTGCCACCCTCCTCCTACATCCTCAATGTAAGTCCTGGTCCCTGCAGGCTGAGCCACCATGATTGGGGGTGGGAGGAAGGGCTGGGGAGCTGGAAATGCTGGGTCTCCTACTTTGTGCCATTTTCTGACTCCGTGCTGCACTCATTTATCTTCCCCATTCATTGATTCTAAACCCCCTTCTCTGGAACAAGGCTATGAAACAGAAGATTGTCATGTATGATCAATTATTATTAATTAGTGGGGAGAGGCACTGGGCTCTTTGTTGAGCACTTACAGACCACTGTGTAAAGCACTTTGCTTCATGATCCCATTTAATTGTCACAGTATTTAATGAGGGAGATACTCATTTCTGTTTTACAAATGAAAACTTGGAGGTTCAGAGAGGTTGAGTAACTGACTCAAGGTGACACAGCTAAGGTTTGAATCCAAGTTGGTTTGGCTCCAAGGTTTAATCACCAGGCTGATCTGCTCCAAGTTGGGAACAGGAGGGAGGTCTGTGGGAAGAGAAGTTTCCCATCATGGGGAGAAGAGACCCTGCTGAGGACCACCACAGCCTGAATGTACCTGTTCCAGCAATCCTCCCACCAGCTCTGCTCTAGTGGCTCAGCTGGCCTATGAGCTCTCAAGGCAGAGATCCTGGCTCCCTCAGCTCTGTACATGGGCTCCCAGTCCGGGGCTCAGAGCTGAGCAAGACCCAGCTCATGTGTGAACAAATGAATGAGTGCTGCCTTTCTGTGTTGAGCAGGACAACGGCTACTGCACCGTGGGAGTCGAGCCCACCTACCTGTCCGCCCAGAACAGCCAGCCCCTGTGGATCCTCGGGGATGTCTTCCTCAGGTCCTACTATTCCGTCTACGACTTGAGCAACAACAGGGTGGGCTTTGCCACTGCTGCCTAGACTTGCTGCCTCGACACGTGGGCTCTCCTCTTCCTCTTGGCCCTGCACCCTCCTGGGGCATTGTATCTGTCTTTCCACTCTGGATTCAGCCTTCCTTTTTCGGACTCTGGACTTTCTCTAATAATAAATAGTTCTTCTTTATGTTGGTCATCCTGTTGTTTTTGGAAGGGAGTTTTCCCTGAGTGGCTAGGAGGTTTCCTGGTGGGTCACTGTGATTCTAAGAGAAATGGGACCTAAGGCATGGCTTGGGATGGGCTCTGTAACCCTCAGAACTTAAAGTTCACACTTTTCCCCTGGAAAGGGAAGACAGTGGTAGCGCCATCATGGGTGGGTGGGCCGGGGGCAGGGTGGGGAGAGTGTTCCTGTGTGATAGGCAAAGAGGGCCTACTCTAACAACCTAAAATGCTCTGCTGGCTGGGCATGGTGGCTCACACCTATAATCCCAGGACTTTGAGAGGCCAAGGTGGGTGGATCACTTGAGGTCAGGAGTTTGAGACCAGCCTGATCAACATGGTGAAACCTTGTCTCTACTAAAAATACAAAATTAGCCAGGCATGGTGGCACATGCCTGTAATCCCAGCTACTTGGGAGGCTGAGGCAGGAGAATCACTTGAACCCAGGAGAAGGAGGTTGCAGTGAGCCAAGATTGAACTGTTGCATGCCAGCCTGGGCAACAAGCGTGAAATTCTGTCTCAAAACAAAAAATAAATAAATAAATAAATAAAATGCTCTGCTGACCCGATTTACCAAACTACCACCAGAACTACCCCAGTGACACTGGGACCCACATGTATGTCTACTAGCAGTGTGATTAGTGGTCTAACACACCCCAGGTCTAGGTGGCTGTCTCCTCATCTGCTGATCAAATTTGAATTAGAAGTTTCTGAGGAATTCTGGATGCCCATGTGCACTTGTAACAGTCATGGGGTCCTTTAGGGAGGAGGGCAATGCTGCCAGAAACTATTTCTTGGGGGGCTTCAAAAGGCCAGGGCTGTTAGGCTGATAGTATTTTTACCCAGACCCCTACGTCCCAGGATGTGTATTTGAAGAAGGGTTCCTCTCAGCTGTGGAGAAGAGGGAGAGCTACTTGAGTCACAGAGAAATGGAGCCTACTTGCTCTAACCAACTCAGCAAGGGATCTTGTGCCTTTGGACTTCATCCCTGTCCTCCTCAGGAGCCTCTTAGCAAAAGATACAGAAACCAGGAGCAACGTGGTATGTGGGGAAGGAGAGGGAGGACGAGAAAGAGGAGGGGGAAGGAGAAGAAAAGCAGGGGAGGGGCGGGGGGAGGAGACAGGGAAAAAGGGGCGGGGAAGAGGAGAAAGTAGAGAATGATGCCTCCGCGCCCTGTGAACTTCCAACAAGGGAAGGTGACATGAAAGGAGATCAGACAATTTCTGTCCAGCAACATGACAGCAAGCTCCGGCTGGTGAGTGGGGCGTGAATGTAGAATCCATAATGGGGGCAGGCTGCCTTCTACAGTCATATTTTCCCTGTCATTTGCCAGTCTCACCCCGGCCTTGCCCCTTATGATCGGGGCAGGGATAAAAGCGCAAGATCCAGATCTTGCACCCTACTCCTGAAGAGAAACTGGAATTTGCCACAGGTGGAGTTTCTATGGCAACAGCACACCATCTGGGACCCTCTATCTTAGACTGCCGAAGGACAGCCGGCTGCAGGTTCCTTCTAGGGGGTCGGACACGCTACAGAATGTATCGTAGTAAGCCCTGGTTTGGGACATTACTGAGAGGAGAAAGAAAACTTGCAAAGGGGTAGAAGTGGAACAGAGGTTCCGAGTCAAGAGTCTCTTTCCCTGAAAGCTTTGGTCTGCTGAACGGGACTACAAATCCCGGCGTGCCTAGAGGGAATACAGCGAGAACTACGCTTCCCAGTGGACGCCGCGGTCGAGCTGCTGGGAGGCGGGGCGGGTGCTGCCCTCTGCCGGGAGCGGAGGGAAGTGTGCGCCGAGTGACAGCCGGA